ACACCCGTTCATGTTTTCAACCATTTACCAACATAAACACACATACGTACATATATGTGCATACATACATATGTATACACATGTAGACGTGCAAAGTGAAACTGTAAGTACATCAGCGAACTTCTCTCTACATGCATGTACATATGTGTCAGTAGATTTGCAAACACATACAAATTCATCAACATGTGCATTCTGCGGCCTGTGTATCTCTTCATATAAAAAATCATCGTCCTAAAACCACTCGATCCATCCGTACAGACACAGCAGTGTGCCTCTCCTTCTGTGATTTACTGAATGTTTAATGTAGATTTCCATCCATCTGTCCATACACACACATATATATGTACGCATCCGACCTATCTATTCATACACCACTGTAACCATATGCCTATTCCTCTCTCTATAGATCTCTCTACATATGAATATGTATATATATATATATATGTATATATATGTATATACCTATTCGGTCTTTGTGATCCACACATCAGGAGTCAACCTGAACATGGCCCACGGAAGGAATACGAATGCAAATCGCACAGGAGGATTTCAGGTGTAGCACGCACAAATGACATGAACATGCAAATCATCCACTCCTGGGATCCTGCTACTAACTTGCACAGGCGGAATTGCCTTGCAACCCTTACGCTAGCAATCAAATGCGGATCTCCCAGGGGAGGAATACGATTGCAAAGCCCGGCAATACAATATATCACGCAAAATATTTAGCACTTGGCTATAATATGGAAACCCTCAGCACAACCACATTGTAAAGCCATGCAGAAGGACATTATTTGTAAACCACACCATAAGAGTAAATATGTAACTCGTCCACGGAAGGGATCGTTTGTACGGCCTCGCAAAAATATTGGATTTGTAATTCGCACACGAAGAATCACTGTGTGCATCGCCCGCAAACGGAACTCTAGTGCAAGCCCCTGCAGAGTGGGCGTGTCCTGAAGTCTTTTGCCTAATCCATGGCGCCCTGGTCCTCAGCCCTGAGGAATCTGTAGGAGTTCCGGACCTTAAATTCCAAAATCTCTTGCTTGGGGCTTCCCGCGTGCCCCGGTAGGTTCCTGGCATCTTGTCGCATGATTTGTTCGGGCCCAAGACGGCCCCAAGACGGGTCAAGAGGGCCCCAAGTGGCCACGACGGTCCTAGAGGGCCCCGAGACGCCCAAAGATCGGCCCAAGACGGCCTAACAACGACCCAAGAGGCCTCCAAAACGCCCCAAGAGACCTCCCAAGAGGGCCCCAAGAGGCAAACATCATGAATTTCCCTTATAATTTTGAACGATCCTTGCGTTCTCGCCGTCTCGGATTTCCAATGCTCCAAGACGGTCCAAGAGGCCTCCAAGACCACACCAAAACGGCCGAAGAGGCCTCCAAGAGGGCCTAAGACCGCCCCAACAGGTGCCCAAGACGGTCCAAGAGGGCCCCAGAACGGCCCCCAAAGGGGCCCAAGAGAGACACGAACCGAACATCCTAGCCTTCCGCCCCAAGAGCCCCCCAGGAAGGCCCAAGAGGCGCCCAGGAGGCCCCAAGAGGCCCCAAAAAGGTCCCCAAGATGCCCCAAGAGGCCCAAAAGAGGCCCAAACGGCCCCAAGAGGCCCCGAAACAGCCCCTAAGTGGCCTTGGAACTGCCTCCAAGAGGCCCCCGAGAGGCCTCCTACGAGATCCCAGCGAACAGCCAGTAGGCTTCATATCGACAACCCAGGAACTGTGGCGAAATGCGCCAAAGCCATCTTATATATGTGCATGTCTGCATGTATGTATGTATGTCTGTCTGTATGTATGTATGTATGTATGTATGTATGTATGTATGTATGTATGAATGTATGTACATATGTCTGGATGCATGTTTGTTTGTATGTATGTATGGATGTACATGTATTCGTGTGTATATATATATATATATAGAGAGAGAGAGAGAGAGAGAGAGAGAGAGAGAGAACAAACAAAAAAAGAAGAAGAGACGTACCCGCCACGACAGACAGTCCATTAGAAAATCACATGAGAGGATTTTGTGTAATGCGCAAGTGGGAGTCTACATGTGAACCCTCCACAACAGGAGTCCGACTGTACAGCCCAATTAAAAATAGCATTTGTAATTCGCACAAGAAACATCAATGTGCAAATCGCCCACAACAGGAATGCGACTGTACAACCCTGCTCAAAAAATCGTGTGTAACCCTCAGAAGAAGCCTCACAATGCAGATTGCCCAGATTTCCTTGGGAAAAGGACCGGAACAAATGGGATGAGCCCCCCCCAAAAACGGAAGCTGTTTTTTTGTTTTCCCATTGTTCCCCCCCCCCCCCCTGTTCCGCCGCCACCGAAAAACAAAAATGAACAACAAAACAACGACTTTTGGTTTTTGGGGGGTCGGGGGGCTCCTCCCGAACTTTTCCGGCTCCGTTTCAAAGGAAATCATTTCCGGGGCGTTTTGCACATTGACTCTTGTTGTGTGGATTACAAATGAGACAGCCTTGTAGGGCTGTACGCTCGGAGTCCTTGTGTGGGGGATGTACATGTTGATTCTTTTTGTGCGCTTACACATACAATCTTTTGTCTGACTTTCCAATCGGATTCTTTTTGTCGTGGTTTGACAAATTAATTAATTCTGTGTATATTACAAATAAAACCCTAGTACGGTTTCATGATCGATTTCCTTTTGTTGACGACGGAACATTGTCTGATATTGTGCGGACATGTGAAACCCTTTCGTGGGGCTGTACACCAGGATTCCTTTGGTGGGAGATGTAATATTGATTCCTAATGTGCGTGCTACAAGTAGAATCTTGTTGGGCGGTTTTGCAAATAATGTCTGTGGGCGATTTACGAGCTGATTCCTAGTGTAAGGCATTCGCACATTGATTTCAACAGCGCGGGTATTCGAAACGATTTGCAGAACAGCACGCCAAGCAACACACCAACAAACCACAGAGCAACTAAAGCGACAAAGCACAGGAACGTCCTGAAACCTAGCCACCCGAAAAAACGACCCCGGAGGCCGAAGACGGCAAACATCTTCCCGAGGCCGGAACCTCGAACCTGCCCGCCCTTCCTGCTGGCCGGAACCCATGCTGGGCCACCTCAGTAGAGTTATGTCGGGCTTGCCCCCCTACAGGGGGATTTTTAACGAAAAACAAAAAAAAGCCCCACACATACCCCAAAAAGGTAAAACAATATTCCAAAAATGGTCCCCAGACCATTTTGGGACTATTTTTGGATCATTTTTGCGGTATGTTTAACTTTCATCGAAAATCCCCCTGTAGGGGGACAGGCCCGACTTCACAGTAGAGGAACAAGCAGCTTCACAGGCATAAGCTCTTGGACGTCCGCGCGGACTTCTCGGGTCGGAACGCGACAGGGGGCTGCGCGGGAGGCGCCGCTGGGGGGTGGGGGCCAGCGCAGATCCGAGAAATCCGCACGGACCGTCAAACATTTCTGTCCACACTGAAGGGGCCCAAGGACACACAAACAAATGCACGCAAATGAAATCATTCCCCATCTTTTCCCATACTTTCTGGGTTCTTGTATTCCCCCCCCACTTCCCATATTTTCCTATAGTTTCTGGGGAATCGACGATTCATTGTGTCTGTGTGTTTTTTCTCTCCTGACACATTCCCGCCTGTAAAGTCCCTCCAGCCGGTCTTGTTTTTGACAGCTGGCTGCCGCGGGCGCGAGGTTCGCGTCAAGTGCCCGAGGGGTGAGCAGCCGCGAGACTACTCACCTGGAAGCTCCGAAAACATCAGTCCCGTTTTCGCTCCTCCTCTTCCTCCTCCTCCTCCGCCTCCTCCGCGCTCCTCAATGAGGAGGAGGAGGAGGAGGAGGAGGAGGAGGAGGAGGAGGAGGAGGAGGAGGAGGAGGAGGGGGTCGACGTTGTGAACAAAACACGACGTCGGATGTCTGGGGGGAGAGGGGTCCGGAGCTCTGGGGCTGCGCCTGGGAACAACCATCTCGTCAGACGGCAAGGGCTCTCCACTCCAAAAATAATCCGGGTTCGGAGCTCTCGGCCCCCAGCACTTCTGGTTGCAAGATCATCGACCTGGGATGAAAAAACCACAAGTGGCCATGTTGGAAAATCCTTAACAATTCTTCGTCGGCAAATTGTTAATTTTGGGCGACGCGTCCATCGCCGAGCGGGAGCGGGGCGGAACAGATAGTCCCTCGAGGTTCGGCCGAAGTACTTCGGCCCTGCTTTTTGTTGGAGGTCCTCGAGGGCACGCGCCAAGACGCCTCTCTCGTGCGAGCGTTCTCGAAGCGAGCGCCCACGCCGAGGAGGGGGGGGGAAACCGCGGAGGGGGGCCAGCGGATCGGCTGCCTGCAGCTGGCTTCTCCGGCGCCGGGTGCGAACGTGCACCGAGGAGTGCGCGGAGCGGCGGGACCGAAGCCAGCTGCACGCAGCAAATTTCTTCCCCCCCCCCGCCCTTTCCCAATGCCCCCCCCCTTTTCTCAGACGATGCCGGGACGGGGACAATTCGGGTGAGGATGAATCGATGTCTCGGGCGCCGCGGCCTTCTCAGAGAGTTCTGGAACGCTCTGAGAGCGTTCCGGGACGCTCTGGAACGGATTCATCCTCGTCCTAGCCACCTCCGATGGCCCTCGTCGTCTGGCTTTCGGGCCATAACTCGGGCCTCTCGCGGCCGCTCGGGATGATCTGGGGCACTTTGGAACGATATCGCCGAGACGCAGCTGCCATAAAGCATCCTCAGACTGGGAAGCCTGCGGGGAACGACGAAAACGCCCGAAAACATCCAACATCAGACGAATGAGGAAGAGGAGGATGAGGATGAGGATGAGGGTGATGATGATGAGGATGAAGATGAGGATGAAGATGAGGATGATGATGCTGAGGAGAAGAAGGAGAAGGAGGAGGAGGAGGAGGCGGAGGAGGCGAAGGAGGAGGCGGAGGAGGGGGAGGAGGAGGGGGACGATGGGAGGATGAAGAAAGAGGGGAGGAAGAGAAAAGAAACTGTCTTCACCCCTGGGGCGGGCGCCGCATCTTCGTCCGCAACAGCATTCGCGGAGCTGTTCAGTGTCCACGAGCTGGCGGAGCTGGAGTTGGGCGCCTGGCGCGCGGGGGCGAACGCACCGCAGCCACCTTTCCAACACTTCGCCGGCCGATAGCCCACACATCTGGGTGTCTGGGTGATTCCTACCGTCCTATCAGAGCACATTCAGAGTCAACGTTTCACGCCCCCCCCTCGGGCAAACGCGAGCAGAGGATCCCCAAAACCTCTCCCTGGGTGAACGGGAGCCGCGACCAACTCCTGGACAATCGCTGCCACCTGCCTTCTTCCTTACTCCTCTCTCCTGCTCACTCCGCCTCCTCCTCCTCTCTCCTCCTCCTCATCCTCCTCCTTCCTCCTCCTCCACCTCCTCCTCCTCCTCCTCTCCTCCCTCCTCATCCTCCATTCCTCCTGCTCCTCCTCTTTCCTCCTCCTCCTACTCCCTCCTCCTCTCTCTCCTCCTCCTCCTCCTCCTCCTCCTCCTCCCTTTCGTCCGCCTCTTCTTCCTCTAATTAGTCGTGGTTCTCCTCCTCCTCCTCCTCCTTCTTCTCTTTCTCCACGGCCTCCTCCAACTCCTCTTCCTCCTCCTCTCCGTCGTCCTCCTCCTCCTCTTCTTCGTGGTGGTCCTCCTCCTCCTTCTCCTCCTCCTCCTCCTCCTCCTCCTCCTCCTCTCCTTCTCTCGTTTTCGTGCATTCCCCTTTTCCATGCCCCCCTCTCGAGCTCGCCAACCAGCCACCTAGCCGGTAACCGGCCCCCGTCATCTTTTTCGGTGACCGGGGCCCATGGCAGCACCGCCTCGTCGGACAACTGCCATCAGCTCCAAGCCCAGGGCACAGGAGGACCA